TTCTGCATTACTATTTCATATTCCATATGAATCTTTACCACTTACGAATTAAGATCTTTTGCACATGATTTCTATATTTCATTTTTGTTTCTAATGCTAGAAGGATATATAAAACAAGTATTTACAAGTATTCAGACAAGTATTACTTGTAGTCAATCTTAGTTATAGGTAATGTTCAAGCATGTATATAAGTGATCTGTACATATTGTTGCAGAATAAATTCCATGATGTGTAATTACTTTTAAATGGTCATTTGTTTGTATCATCAGGTTACGACCTAGGATCAGTAGGTCATGTGTGAAACCGAGAAGATCACTTAGGGCTATAACAAATCAACGACAGAAAACAATTTAATTAAACGATTTATACAACTAAATATCCGTTAAAACGTCCCCGTCCTAATAACATTGTTCCTTTCAACTGAACAGATTTTCATTCTGTAATTAGGTGTGCTATAAATTGCACCAGATTGCATCATTTCAAAATTTGCTGGGCCTTGTCCAATCTCCAACAGTCAGGGCGACATCCACTATCATAGATAACTAGAAACGAGCAGTTGTCGCCAACTACATGTATCCCCCGTCATCTAGTATGAATGGAATATCTGTGTAAGGACGTAGAAGGCAGGTAAAGTTAAATAAGTGACAAAGACAAAGGTTTGTTAGACAACTGGTGTGCCTCAGATGTGCAAATATATGGAATCTGGTTACCCTAGGAGGCTGAAGAGGAAATGTAAGTCGACGGTCAAGGTCAAACTAAGGTCAAGGGCAGTGGTGGTTTTGGTATGCGACAGACCTCCCCAAGATGTGTAAGCATACCAAGTTTGGTCGCGCTAGGTCAATTAGGGGCTGAGTTAGAGAGCGGAAGGGAAATATGATCAAGGTCAAGGTAAAGGTGAAATAAAGGTCGCAGTGTCCTGGTGGGCAGTTTTTACCCGATGACGGATCATCTTCAAATTTGGCATGAAGGTGCGTTATGGTAAAGCAAAGACGCCAATCGTTTTTGGTGTGGGCAAAGTCATCGTTGCCATGATAACAACATTTTTGTGGAAATATTGTAGAACCTGTAACTTGTGCTGTTTTTACCCGATTGTCATGGAATTTGGGGCCGATATAACATGTCCTATATATATATATATGTATATACATACATATTTGATGACAATCATAAATTTAAATTACAATTTTTAAATACAAATTTTAATTACAAATATTAAATTTAAAAAAAATTTAATTTAATTTTTCCTTTTTTTTAAAATTTAAATTTTAAATATTTAAATTTAAATTAAATTATAATTTTAACTACAAATATAAATTTTCATGACAATCGGCGCTACAAACTGGAGAAGTTACAGGTTCTAGAATATTTCAACAAAAATGTTGTTACCATGGCAACGATACTCCGCCCACACCAAAAAGCGTAGGCGTCTTCGCTTTACAATAAGGCACCTTCATGCGAAATTTGAAGATGATTCGAGAAGAACTGCAGCCGGTAGGGAAGATTCCACAGCGGAAATCTGCGGGCT